CAATAAAGTTAAATTCAATAAAACAAAGGAAAGTCCCCAGAAGGTGCTTTAATTTCCACACTTTAAATGAGACTGATAACTGGGACAAAATATGTGATGCTTACATCATATATAACGTCTCTGGTTGGGTTTAGGAAAGGTCGTGGTTTGGGGTAAAATGAACCCTTTTACCACTGATGATGATGAGTTGGAAGTGACAGATTCGTCTCATCAATGTGTCAGGGCACAAATGCTTGCTTTGACAAAACAGCACTAATAACAGTAATAAAAATGTTTGGGCATAAAGAACACAAATGAATCCTGATCCCTTTATTTTCCTGGTAACATTTCACTAATGTGAAAATAACCAACACAAATGACCAAATCATGATATCGAATCAGTCCTCACACACCCTCCATAACCGTGGACCAGCACTGTTTATCATTTATTATTAATAAATATCCTCTAACTGGGTCTTAGTTTGTTTGTTTACATTGTCATTCTGTATTTCTTTAGTCTTTTCAGTCTTGAGGTCTTTGTTCGAGTTACTGTATATATCAGACTTTATTAGTTTGCTCAGATTTTTTTCCCCATGTTAAGTTTACGTTTGTGTTCAATATTTGGTTATGGTTGCTTACTTCCTGTTCTACTTTATAAGTCATCTTCCGCGACTCGTAATCAGTTTTACGTCCTCCCCTGTGATTGTGCTGATTGTCTGCACCTACTTCTTGTTTTTCACTGCTGCTTATTCTCAGAGTGGATTAATAAAATCTAATCATTGTTAAAGTAACAAGTTTTAAACCCTTTCCAACTTCCACTACAGTAGCAAACATCATAACCTGTCATCTGTGCATCTGTTGGACACGCCCAGGAGTCTGCATAACTCCACCCTTTAGGCGTGACAGACCTACCTCCTTACCACCAGACACAACCTGCCTCACTGCAGTTTTTTTTCAACTACTTTATTATAGCTTAAATTAACGGTATATAAATGAATTAAATTAGACACAAAAAGTGTGATTTAATCGCCCGATGGGCCAATGGAGGGAAAAAGTTTTCCTGAACCACTGATGTGTCTTTGATCTGTGAGCGATTAAAGATCAAATTGATATAAAGTAAAGGCTAAAGAAGAAGTCACTCATTTTTTTATGTAGGTAAACGTTAAATCTACTCACCTACCTCACCACCATTTTTGGTACTTTTGAGAACTGAGCAGGACGACAGCATCAGTTATTTTTCTGTTGCTGGAGTCTGAACAGCTTATATAACATAAACCCTCCTGAGATGGAGCTTTCTGAACATCCTGCCCACTGGTGCGGTTTTTCATAGTCTAAAGTATCGCTATTAAAAATGTATAGAAACCATAAAATATTCATTCAGACTCGGTTTTGCTTTATGATAACGACAGCTAGAAGACTTTTCTGTGCACACACGTTTACTGATGAAGAACCCCTTAATGATGAAACATGGATGTAATCAGGAATTAAGAGTCACAAACCTGGAGGAGGCGGAAGTATCCCGGTGTCAGTCTTCCCAGTCTGATCATCATTCCTGCTGCCTCCGTTTCTCAGACGGGAGAGGAGCTTCCTGCAGGAGAGGAAAACTCCCATCCCTCTTACTGTTTTCATTAAGTGAACATTGTTAGATGAGATTCATGCAGACAGTATGGCTCAGTTTCCCAGACATGGACTTAGATTTAAAACAATTTTCAGAGGAGATCTTCAGTGAAATTTTCTTTTAATTTAGGACTAGGCTCACTCAGTGTCTGTCAAACTGGCTGAATATATTATGGTTGCTTTGGATGCCTTCACTGTTTGACTGGAAAAGCCCAAAAAGATATAATTAGATGCATTTTACAGAAAAATAAAGGGAAAAGACACATTTTTTATTCCACATCTCATTTATCCTGCTGTGACACCCTCCGATTTATCTCAAGGAGAACTTAATCTTCTTGATGGAAATCGACTTTAAAAACAGATTTCTGCCTCACTTTGAACTGCCTGGTTTATTTGAGGATGTTTTTAATAGATACATATTTAAACCATACTCAAGAGAAGTAAATCTCTGTGGAGAAATGAACACTTTTTAATTTTATTTTGAGCTATTCATTGTAACAAGCGTAATACGTCGCAGACAACATAAAACTGTCTTTAACCCAACTAGTTTAGTCATATTGAGGTAATTCAAACTGATATCACAGCCTTACATATGTTTTGTCACATAAATCTCAGTTTCAAAGCCACTAAAGTAAGGAAATGTTTGAGGATATTAATTTTTATTAATATCAATACCTTATTTTAAGTCTTCTTGTTTAGTATTTCTAAGGCTTACACTGTGTGACCCTTTAATAAACAGTTTATAACACAT